ACACTTACTCAGACAAAGAAAGATTTAACAGAAGACAAAATAAATCAGGAAAGGTTAATTTAAAAGTCAAGACGATCAAGGTATGTCTGTTTTCTTTTACAGTCTTTAGGTAACTTTTAAAAGTCAGAAAGTATTTTAAAAATTGCAATAAATGGTCTTGCAACCTCTGGAGAAACAAAAGCAATTTTGCACAGAGTTCTTAATTCCAATTTTTTTCTCTGTGTTATTTTTTCACTTCTTCTGAAGTACAGAACTTCAGTAAATTTAGTAACATCACAAATTTTCACTTCTGAAAAAGAAAACCCATCCCTCATTCTTAATACATTATTTAAGATCTGCTTCATTCTGTCCTCCTTTTCTAAAGGTATTCATATAGACAATATGTATCAACAAGAATTGAAAATCCTCTGGCTCATCTTGGGTGAGCCCAAAGGCCAGTGATCACCTTAAAAGAAAAATCTTAAAACCTGAAGATTTTACTGGAAATAAACATCAAAGCTTTTGATTAAATAATGACTTTGGGTCTATGGAGGAAAGGAAATATTGGCTTTGTCTTTCCTCTCTTAGGTCAGTTGCAGTCATGACAGGGTTCATATTTTATTCCCATTTCCAGTACTCTGGACCACTTTGCCTGGATTACATCTAGTGTCCTTTCAAGCCTGACCAGTATAAGGTGAATATCAATGCAAATAAATTCAAGGGCAAAAGCATGGGGCAGTGACATGTCCGCAAAACAAAAAATAAGGCTCTACAACAGCTGTGTGGTATCAGTTTTGCTCGATGCTGCAAAGACCTGGGGCATTACGCAAGCTGACAAGAAAAGATTTGATGCATTTGATAGCAGGTGTTTAGGAGGGATCAGTAATGTCAAGTGGCATCACTATGTCAGGAACATCAAGTTTCAGGAGAGAACAAGAAAGGAGAAGATTGTGGACTTCCTAACAAGGCAGTGACTTCCATGGTCCCACCACTCCATGAGCATGCAGTGAGGCTGAAGGGTAGGGGAAGGTCTTGTGAGCTGGGTTTGCTCCTCCTGGCTTCCCAGCCCAACCTGAGACTCATCAAAGGCTGGGGTAGACAGTAGAAATCTCTTGTTGATTTTGACTTAACTTGTCTGCTGAGGATGAAAAAGCCTTGGGGCAAGGACTGTTCTTCTGCTTCTCCAGGATGTGGGACATGGTCAGGACTCACTGACCCAGTGTGAAAGGTGAGGAGGGAAAGAGGTGAATGGGAAAAGGAAAATAAAAGACATCTCTTTGCAGGACTGCTCTTCAGCAGGAATATTCACATGAATCAAGGATTTCCAAACCAGGCGTCTAGGGTTTTGTAATGAAATCTTAGACCACGCAGACAAAATGGGCTTTAACAGACTTTGCAGAGCCAAAATCTACAGCAGTAGGCTCAGTCGACTCCAATGAACTCCCACAGATGTGAGAGCATAAAAATCTCCTGTTGTTCACATTTTCTCTCAGAAACAGCCTTTTCTGCATGTGGCTGAGGAGCATCTCTCAGTAAAACACAGCCCAAAGAAGACAACGTAAAACAGATGGGAGCAAGAAATAATAAAGCCAGGCCATATGGGTAGAGTGGACCTGTTTGAAGCAAGTGCAGCCAAATGGATTATGATGTAGTAATGTGTGAAAGAGGTTGCACTATTGTATGGACTATCTGTAAGTGGAATTTTTTCATGATTGAATCAAGAAAAGGAAATGTACTCTATCCAAATGTTAATGAGAACCATACTTCAAAAACATCCACGTTGAGTTCTTGTATCAAATAATGTCAAAAATAACTCAACGTCCAAACTAGGATCTAACCTTTTTGTTATTTATTTTTTAAACTCTTAGGTTTTAAAACTCTGATCTGCAGCTGGTGAAGTTTATTATTTTTTTATTTTTATTTTTTTTATAATTTACAATGTCTTTAGGCTTCAGAAAATGTAGTAGTAAGTAAAATGGGCCATTAAGGTAAAAAAATTAAATCCCTATTAGAGGTATATATCTCTGGTTTTGAGCTAGAATGTTTTGCTTTCCTTTTCCATGAACAGTTTAGGATAGCCTTCTGAAAATAGACACAACTAAAATATAATTCTTCCAGTGGTAAAAATGTTCTTACTCTGCAATACTCTAAACTCTGTTTTCAACGCCAGCACAGGAACGCTGATCAATGATTCCACAAACAGAATCTGCTACAAAATTAATTTTAAACCAACAATGCTTACCCCAAGCTATTTTCAGTTGAATGTTTGGCTCTAGCGTTGACTAAAAGAAAGTGAAAATATTTATTCAGGCAGCTAGCTGGCCTATCAAACATCCAGCATTTGGGAGATCTCATGACAGAGCAAACACACTGGTGCGAGGACAGCACCACATTTCAGCAGCACCACGGCGTGCCAGGGCTCTGCAGAATGAGACCTGGGTAACACCAATGACATTTAGCAAATTACTGCAGGAAACTGATAAGGGCATGATCCTTTTTTATGCTGAAGATCATGCATAATGCCTGCTGTGCCTCAGCACCTTTTCATAAATATAGAATGAAAGCTTGTGGCAATATGCCGACAGATGCCACAGAGCAAGCAGGGATTCCCCCTGCCCCAGGCCTGGAAGCTGTACCTGGAAGCCTCGTGGTGTAGCACTGTGGCTGCTCCTACAGCTCAGGAGGTCATGTAGCAATTGTGAAGAACAGAAAGTTGGGTGAAGTGCTGTGTCTTGAAGGATGAGATTAACTCATACTGTATTATGTGGCAAAAACACAACACAGCCTTATTTAGGAAGTGTGTGGTCTCATGCTGCATGTAACTGTGTGTGTGTGTGTGCATGCAAATCTACATATAAAGAGAGGGCTGAAGAGAAAGTGTGCTAAAAAGCTGGTTTAGAGAAATTTATGGAGCAAACTTTGGCACTGGAGTTTGATAATTACTATTGAAATATCTTCCATGTGTGTGAAATGAAGGACTATGCCTGAAACAAGAGGAATTGAGATAAGCCTCTTTCTTACACTAAGATTGGATCCTGACCTAGGTCATTTGGGGTCTTTTCCATCAAAAGACCCTGGAGACAGGACTCCAGCCAATGGCAGCTAGATAATGGCATGTGATTAATGCAGGGATGGACAACGGCACGTGGATAATCTTCCAGAGAAAGTACATGGATCCCCCGCTGAAAGATGGGATGGGAAGGGTACCACCTTCCTGTTGCATGTCAGCCCCAGAGGATTTGAGAGTTTCAAGATCTAACAGATAATTTTCTAAAGGACTGTCAGACTCACAGAGGTGTTTCGGTGACCCCGTGCTCTGGTCACAGAGGGTTTGACCCTTTTGGTTAAGTGTGTGTGATAGGGGTTGGCCTGCAAGATTCACCACCAGAGACCCATTTTCCAGGGGAACACACAGCACAGCACAGAGGTATCACTTCAGCACCTTAGAAACTCCAGGATTATCAGTGGGAAAAGCACAAGCATGGATGGATCAAGGTCAAGTACACTTTTCCCTATCTATTCAGTAGTAACATAAGCTGTCTAATATTTAACCTGAATGTGCTGGAAAAAGTTCATGATTATGGCTAGTAGAGGATTTCCTAAACACCTTTTTCTTCAGAAAAATTATCTGGATCTTCTTCTCACTTTTAATTAGGATAAAACCATCTCTCTCAACTCTAGGAGCAAAAAAGCCAAATCATTGTGCTACTAGGAAGCAGCATAATGATCTGGGTATATTTCAGATGTATATTCAGGGATGAAGTACACCAATGTAAAAAATAGTGGTAACTGCAGTTTTTCAATTTTAGTATGTTGTTCATGTCATTTACTGCTATCCCATTTGAAAATTATAAGTGCAGTGCTGTGCAATTGTTTCATGTCATAGCCTCTGTTTTTCCTGACCAGTCTTCTCCTGCAGTGATGGGAGGGCAGGGGCAAGAATAGCTCTGGGATTAAGAAAACAACCCTGACTGTGCTTCTGCACAGAATGACAGCAGCCCTTTCTGGGAAGTGATTGCACAGCATTTCTTACAGAAGAGGCAACACACCACTTTGTCTGGATTTTTGTGGTATTCCAGATCATAGGATGGGTGTAGCACAGCAGACTAAGTGCAGTTTTAAGTGATAGAGTTTCAAGTTAAGGTGCAATTGTCTAGGTAAGGAAGTCTGAGCATCTTGGCCACAGCCAGCTGTTTCCCCAGCTATACAAACCCCTTTGGGTTCCCTTGGGAAGAGCTCTCCATGAACTCTGTTTTTGCTGGGGAAGTGAGTTAAGATCAGATCAATGAATGGCCTCATTCACAGCGAAAGATTTTTTGTGGCAAAAGATTTTGCTGAGGCAAAAAGACCTTTAGAAAGAAGAGTGTGGGTCTCCTCCATGTCTCTGTGTTCTCATGAACTTGGCAGAAGGAAGGAAAAGACTAGACTTAGATTATGACTTATATTTATATAGCTTATAACTGTTATAACTAGTAACTTTTGTTAAAATAATACTGTTCTGTCAAAACAAAAATTCTTCTGACAAATTTAACTTGTTTAAGAAGATTATAGAAACTTTTAAAACTATTTTATCTATTATAGGAAGAGGAAATAAAAGCAGTTTGACAAAAATATTTCAGCTCTACTTAAATGTGGTTGGCTCAGGTGATGGGCAACAGGGGTGAGGGATTTTTTTCCAAGCTGGAATTTCTAACCACATTCTTTTAATTCTGATTGAGAATGGAAACAGAATGTGAAATGGCCAATTTTTCCACAGGATAGAATCTCCACTTTTGATTCAGCACTAAGACAGAAATGAAGATGAAAATTTGTATCAAAACAGAATTTAAACACTCATAAAGAATAAATCTGGGCACTTCAGACCTCAAGGAATTTTTAGGTGCAAGGGGAAATATTACAGGTGTTCAGATCTCTTTCAAAGGTGCATATCAAAGAAGATGTCATTTTCTACCTTGTACTTACTGTTCCTGCTGCTGGCTCAGAGGGACCAAGGTGACTCTTTGCTACTGCATTGTTTTCAGACATCACTTGTGAACATAAATTCCGTGGAACTTATGGAAAATGAGGAAGGCTATCAGTCCTCATGCACACAATGTGCTCAGGTGAAGAAGAAGCTGACCTGTTGTGGCTGATTTCAACAGGGAATTAGGAGACCTTGGTGTATAAGTCGTCCAAACAATACCTGACTCACCATCAAAGGTAGGTGAGGAGAGGACAGAAAGGGCGAGGGTGGCAACATTAGACACCAGAGTAACTTACAAAGGTTTCAAAGGGGGAGTTTCCTTTGTTCCAAAGAAAAATCTGGTTGATCATGACAGCTCCTATGAATTTACAGTAGGTGGAAGTTCATGCCTCCATGGCACCAACACAAGTTTTATTCAAGATGATCAGCAGAAAAAAACCCAATGGTTACTCCTTCACACTGTGGGTTATCTTGGTAACCCAGTGGTGGTGTGGCAGTAGTCACTTTGTTGACTGGCCCAACAAACCACTGCTTACTGGCAAAGAAATGTGAGTGAACATTTTCCACAACCAGCTTCACAGGATCACAGAATGGTTTTTGTTGGAAGGGACCTTAAACCATCTAGTTCCACACCCCCAGCCACACCTTGTAACAGATCAGTTTGCTCAAAGCCCTGTCCAACCTGGCTTTGAACCATTCCAGGGAGGGCATTGCAGCCAAAAGCTGCTTTCTCTTTTGTCCTGGCCAACAACAGAGATTGTTCCGCAGGAGCTTGGGTTTTAGATTTACAGCTCATCTTCCACATGCTGGTGTTTGGCATAAGGTGGAAAAATAAACCTTTATCTTCTGGCTTCCCTAGTCACATTGAGTTTTTTGCTGACTGGAAGTTAATCACTCTAATTTGTGTTCAAAAAATTCTGTATTTTTCAAGTTTGAAAGCTTTTCAGTCCTCTTTAGGACATTAACCATAGGAGCAGAAGTGTTCCACTCTACCTCCAAACCATTGACTGTTTGGGGTCCTCCTTGCATACATTTTGGACTTTTTCACACTAAAATTCTACTTCTCTTTCCATGAGACATTCTTATTACAGACCTGACCCTTTTCACTTTCAAAGCAAAACTCAGGAGAAAGAAGTAATTCCAATTGGGTCTATACAAAAAGAGACAGGCACTTCTATAAAATAAAGTCTTCCAGGGTGAAAACTTCAGTGCTCCTAAACTACTTAGGAGCTTAGCTGATCTCATTGCTGTTCCCTCTGAAAGCTCAAAAAACTATATTGAATATAAAGGAATATATGGAACCTGCCATTTGCTGTGTCTTTACTGTCTTTCAAACACAGAGAGAACCCAAAACTCATGTTCAGATTTGTGTTGCAGCAACACAATATGTACCTAAGTCTGTGTCCTGGTGGGAGAAGGGATTGTGAGCCTGAAGGATCACCAGGTTCAAAATAAAGGTTGCCTGTCCTGAGGATTCACAGTCTAAATAGCTCAGCAGTTGTAAAGGAGCTGGGGGTGCTGTTTTTAGTGAGATCCAAGGTGACAGCATCTTTGGAACGCAGTTCTTGTTTGTACAATGGAGCTTTTACACCAACATTTGCACGGCTCAGCTTCTCCTCTTAAGCTTTTAAGACCTTGACCCGCTTTGCAGCGATTTAAAGGGCATTGGTGATTTTACTCCCCAAGCGTCTCCTGCCGCGTGCAGCAAATCCCGCAGGGAGTGTGCAAGTGCCTGTCTGGGATGTGGGGAAGGAGCACACGGCAGGGGGGAGAGGGTTTTTTCAGATGAATGTTGGGCTGGGCACATAACAAGTGCTATGAATTATCCAGGCAGACAGAGGAGTGCCATGAGGCCCGCGCTGCCCTGTCACACCCTCTGTTTATGCCCCTTCCCTTGCAGAAAGGGCTATTTTAGGAATGTTTAGGAGAGCTGAAAAATATTTAATTAGGACTATTTTTTACCATCCTGTTAGTAAAGTAAGGGGCCTTAATTGCTTTGGTCTATCACATGCCTTCATTCTGACCAAAAATAACCTACTCTGTTCATAAGAACATTACAACTGTAAATTCTGATAACTTGAGAAGCAGGAATGAGCATCGATATCTAAAAATGTCCCTTTTCGACAGCACTGAGAGACAAGGGCTAAATCTGGATATGAAGCTATGGCATTTTTTACTATAAACAAATGCTGTCAATGACTGAGTACTTTGATCTTCTAGACCACGAGCCAGAGTAGATTTGTGGGGAAATATTCCAATGACAAAGCACTTGCAAGAGGGGAAGGGACGGGGCTCAGCTGGGAGCCTATATCTTGCCAGATCAAGAAATTAGAGGATGGATTGCAGATGAAGTTAGGAAAGAATGTGCTCTGAAGACATTTATCATAGCCTATCCAGGACTTGAGCTTTTTTTATATTTATTCACCCCCTCAACAGTATATTCATTTATTTGTACATATATACATATATATACACACACATATATTTATGTGAAAACATGTGATGACCTTCTGCCCCTATTGCCATGAAAAAAAATTGAAATATTTATAAATAAATATATTATTTTAATATAATATATAAAAATCAATGTATATATGATTGTTTTTTGTCTATTAGATCTGGGAGGGAAACCATCCCCACCAAAGTTTACACCAGTAGCACAGTGGCACAATGGCACCCTCTGTTGCCCTGCACGATTCCTTTGATGGCTGTTCCAATGCGAATGTATTAACTCCTGAAAACATCTGTGCACCACCTTCTCCAAATCTGACTCCTTTCTGCCCAAGTTCCTTGTTTGCTTGGAGTTATCCTCTGTTATATCCCTTCTTAATAAAATCCAGTTTGTTCTTCAAGCCTTTACCGGAGGAGATGGTAAACCATGAGATTAATGAGCAAGAGGAAGCGGTGAGAGCCTGTATTGCCACACTCACTTTGAGAATAGCAGCCTTCTGTTCCTGTTTTGTCCTCCCCAACACAGCTAATGACAGCTTCCTGCAACATTAAACACTGAGCTCAGTCCTGCAGAATAGTGATCATTTCTGGGAGATGCTGTGTGAGACGGTGCCCAGTGCTTCCTGGAAAGTGATTAGTCCTAATGAGATTGGGTTGTCTAACTCTCATGCCACTAATTAAATCTCAACTTCTTTTTTTTTTTTTTTTTTTTCAGTTACACAAAAGCTTGATTCATGAATTAAAACACATAGTGAATCTGATTGTAACGCTGATCCTCTGTGTGTTCGTAATTAAACAACCAGTTCCTTTTATGAATTGAAACAAAATTCCTTCTGGGGCATGGTAAGTTTTCACTCCTAATCATATTTGCTTACATCCATGTGACTACACTTAAATTGCTCATTAATTGGATGACACACAACCACCTTGTTCTTGCTGGACTTTCCTAATTATGACATTTTTGAACTGTAAGGACACCAAACTTCTCATATACTCATTTTTTCTCTCCTTTAGCATCCCACACTGCTATGTTACTAAGAATAATAAAACTATCTTGCTCTAACATTAGAATTAAAGATTGATTTTACTGTGTTGGCATAAGAAAAATTATTACTGATATGACTGTTTACTATCCCCAGTGGAGACTGAAAAAATGATCAAATGCTTTACTTACAATTGATCACTTAGGATTGATCAGTCAGAATTCATCAAATATTGTCAACAACAACAGATTTTAATTTTAAACAACCCCACATTATCTTTTTCTAGATAAAATCTTTCACACTGGGAGTCTTCAAATCTTGATATAAAAGGGGAGGTGAAAAGAAATTCAGAGAAAAAGCAGAAGTGTGACATAAAAGTCAGTTCGGATTTTGCATGTACATAGTAATTTTTCAGAATCTATGCCACATTCACTTGCTTTGATACAAAGAAGATGTTATCAAGAAGTCAAACTAAGTTTTATCCCAGGCCTCATAAAAACAAGCATGTTTGACAGTTGTGGGAAAGAAGGGGGCTCAAGATGGATCTATTGTTCATGCAGAAAGATCTCATTTCAAATTACTCGTAATGATTCCATGTTAATTTGTTATTTGAATCCCCTGCAGTCCCACTTTCCCCAGGCAGAGCTGGAGGATGTGAGATGGTAAGGATGTTACTTAAGCTTTTTGGCTTAGAGTAGATCTCTGCTGAAACAAGTCCTGATTAGTGCTGAACTAGATATGCGTTTTATTTTCTTTTGAAATTAAACCTGCAAGTTTCAGAATTCAACAAAACCACTTCTATTTTGATTTTTACTTCAACTTTGTTAAAAAAACACCCAACAACATAATGCTAAGATGCCAAAGAAAAGTTTCTCTGAAACAAAACCAAGCCCAAAATAGCAGTATTTTAAAAACAGCACATTTCAACAGGACGGAAATTCTTTCCCCTTTTTATTTTCTTAAACTAAAGTGCTGACAAAATCAATGCATTTTCTGAAGTGTTTCATTTTGACTAAATTTGCATGTACTGGTAGAGTAATGGATCCACTAAACTGATTATGAGCAGTTGAGGCTGCATGTTTTTCTTTTTTGGGTTAAGGCCCTACGAGTCTACCGAGACTGACTTAGTATTTCCTGAATAGAGAAATTATTCTAATAAAGACAAAAACTCCAAACCAAACAACACCCAGAATTGTTGTGACTCTCATCCAGAAAGGTGTGAGGTGTCTGGTAAAAACACAATACAGAGCCAGATATTAATGGGTACAGCCTACTTTAGGCAGTAGGTTTGGAATTCCAAAGCACCATCTAAAGGATAGAGATGAAGAAAAAGGTGGATTGTCTGCAGCCAAAGATGCACATGAAGAATAAGATTTCTGACTGGAAGCTGACTGGCAGCTGGTGAAAGAAAGGCAAGAAGGGAACCCCAGAATCTACAGGCTGTTTGTGTCACTTCAGTGCCTGGTAAAGCTGGAGAAGGTTATTCTGGGAGGTACTGAAAACACCTGAAGGACAATGCAGTGATCGGTCACAGCCAGCACAGCTTCATGAGAGGGAAGCCTGGTTACCAAACCTGAGAACCTTTTATGACAAGGGAACACACCTGGTTAAACACAGGAAGACAGTCAATGTAAAATTTTGGATTCCAGTAAAGCTTTTAACGCTGTCTCTCATAGTGTCTTACTGGAAAAAATGTCCATTCCACAGATAGACAAACTCACCATTTTTCTGGACAATCACAAACCATGTGAGGTTCAACCAGGGAAAGTGCCGGATTCTGCTCCTGGGATGGGGCAACCCTGGATGTACGGACAGGCTGGGGAATGAGGGGCTGGAGAGCAGGGCCATGGAAAGGGACCCGGGGGCCCTGCTCAGTGGCAAGTTGAACTGAGCCAGCAGTGCCCTGGCAGCCAGGAGGGACATCCCTGTCCTGGGGACATCAGGCACAGCATCACAGCCGGGCAAGGCAGGGATTGTCCCGCTCTGCTCTGGGCTGGGGTGGCCTCACCTCCAGTGCTGGGGGCAGCTTTGAGTGCCACAATAAAAGAAAAACATTAAACAATTAGAGAGTGTCCAAAGGAGAGCAACAAAGATGGTGAAGGGCCTTGAGGAGAAGCCGTGTGAGGAGAGGCTGAGGGCACTTGGTCTGTTCAGCCTGGAGGGGACTGAGGGGAGACCTCAGTGCAGTTACAAATTCCTCGAGAGGGAAAGAGGAGGGACAGACACTGATCTCTTCTCTCTGGTGGCAGTGACAGGAGGCAGGGAATGGCCTGAAGCTGTGCCAGGGAGGTTTAGGTTGGATATCAGGAAAAGGTTCTGTCCCCAGAGGGTGGCTGGGCACTGAACAGGCTCCCCAGGGCAGGGGTCACAGCCCCAGCCTGACAGAGCCCAGGGAGTGTTTGGACAATGCTCTCGGGCACAGGGTGTGACTCTGGGGCATGGTGCTGTGCAGGGACAGGAGCTGGACTGGATCATCCTTCTGGGTCCCTCCCAACTCAGCTTATTCTGTGATTCTGATCAAGTCTCTGAGCAAGTCTAATACAATAGGCCAGGAAACCAAAAGAGGCCACAGAGTGCTGTCTGTCCTTAAATAAAGACAGATCCATAGCAGGTGACTCCTGTTTTCCCACTAGTTCATAAATATTTTGTTTAGCTACAGAGATTCCCTTGAGGTGGGGGGCATGTTGTCAGGTCAGAGGACCTGCTGTTGGGTTATATCATTGTTATGAAAGTCATGCTGTTAAGGAGCTTTGAGTTGTACCCCATACTGAGAATAGTCTAAATAATCTGTGACTAAAAGCATCTCTCATCTGGGATCACTGTGAACACAAGCAATTTCAGCTGACCCAACAAGCTAAACACAAACATGTCAAGATCTCAACAGCACCAGAACATTTGCTTTCAATATCCTGAGTGTGAAATCCGGGCCAATGGGCAACATTTATTTGGTAATGATTTTGTTTGCCAGATGTTTTTTTCTCTAATTTTACTTCAGAGCACATACAAGTATGTACTGGAATTAAAATGATGATAGGAAAGAACCCAGTAGCCAACTCCTGGTTTATTGCAGCAGCATAAACTGATTTCCAAGACAAAAGCCATTACTCCTCATTTGCATGGGTGTGAGATATGAACTCAGCCCATTCTCTTAAGGAAACATCTCCTGTAAACAAGTAAATTAACCTTTGAGCCCTTTGAAATTAAGTTTTGAGAGTTGTAGGGCAAGAGAGAGCACAGACTGTGAGGCTCTTCTCTCTCATAGGCTGAAGGTTGCATCTTCCAGAGGGAAAAAGGAAAGGAAAGTGTACCTCAGTACCCACTGCCCCAGGTGTTGAGGCTGACCACAACTGATCCTTTTGAAGATGCCACGAGCCCAGAGGGAATCACAGCCTGCAGGAGACACCCAAAACAAAGAACACAAACAGGTGAAACTTCAGGTGAGATGAGCCACAGAGATGCTTGCTTGGGATCCTGGCAAGGCTCCCCACCCACGCTCCCTCCCCAGCCATACCTACAATGCACTGCAGGAATGTGTTCTTTGATGTAAACCATTTTATCAACAGGTAACTTAACTTTATAATTGCTTTTTGGACAGTAGTAATTGTCAAAATGGACACATTAAATATGGAAGCTGAGTAATGCTGGGACCAGAGAAAAATTTCTGACTTTAAATGAGCTGTACTTACTGACTTCTGTGTCCACATCAAAGCAATTTTTGCAAGGAAACAGAGCTGACACACTGTTGTACTTCTATCAAAGTATCAAATGTAATTTTACAGATAATTGCTGCTGTAACATATTCTGTGAAGAAAGTAGATCAGGAATACTGAGACAGCCCAAAATGGTAATGTCTCTTTTTCCCCAGGTTGTCAATAGATTCAGAGCAGGAATGATGCCAGGTTGAAGCAGAGCAAATATTTGCAGAACAATATTTTATTCACCAGAAAAATCCTCAAGTTGCTTATAGATAATTTTGGCTGATAAAGCAATTCTTTAACTGCAAAGTTTTATTTGAGTGTTTTTAGAAGCACTACTGAGTATGAGTCTAGGGAGACAGACTGGGGTTATTTTTAGAATGTTAACTTCTAGATAAAATTAGAGCATTCCTTTTTGCAATACATTTTTTGTAAGTTTTTGTAGTTTATTTGTTAGTTGGTTCTGGAGATTGTATATGGAATGATTTGTCCATGACAGAGACGTCCTTAAGCCAAAATCTCACATCTTGGAACTTTGCATACAGCTCTCCCTTTTTTCCTTTTATTGGTCATAACCCTGAGAGGACAATTCCCCAGAGTCTGGAGGGAATTTGGGTCTGAATTTGAGATTAAAGTGAGGTTCATCCACTGAATACATACTCTTATTTACCAAAGGAAGCCAAGCTCAAACCACATAATGTTGAACTTTGGCCATATATTTTATAAGATATGACTTCAAATGCAAGAAGGCATGCCAGCTTAAGAAAATACCACTCTTTCCTCCTTTCAAACAGATTTTCTTTGCTTTTCTAGGGTTTGCCCTCTTCACTGCTTAAAGAGTAAGTATTCAGTTGATAAATGGGAGACCTCTTCCAGACAGAGTCCATCTTGGCTACACTCACACTATTAAAAAATGTAAATACAATTTGTAAGGGAATCCAAAATTTTCTAGGAATGCTTAAACCTTACAGGAGTGTCAAATTCTTCAGACTGAGCAGGGTCTGTCCAGATGGCTTAGTTGGGATATGTGTGCTCACCTCACCAGAGGAAACCCAAACTAGAAGGTTTAGGAGGGTTTATTAGCAAATCCCACACACACAGAGCTATCCTTATAAATACCTAAGGAATTAATTTATAGGTTAGCCCAGAGTAGAAAAAGAGGAATGCACTGGTTTTTCCACAGATGGTTATGTGAAAAAATATTTCACCACCAGTTGTTATTACTTTGAGATAATATAAATTACTCCTGGCTTCTACAAATGGGTTCAGTGGCAGAGGCAGTCAATCAAGAAGGGTCTTGCTCTGGATTTTAGCAGCACTTTAGGACAACAAGCATAAATGCTTCACTAATATTTAAGATGGGATTCATTGGTGTGGCCATGTTATTTCATACACATAACAAAAAACCATCTTTTTAAAAATAGACACTCAATAAGCTTTCTAGCTGCAGAGGATCCTACATAACCTCTTAAAGAACATGAACATGAAAACTCTACCAGAACAAGCTCCTTTCTATTCATTCCCAATATTATTTCATACTAAAGCTGGTCAAATACTTAAATACTCCATATGCAGCCTTTTTTATTATTTTTTTTTTACTTCAAACAGTTCAGTACAAAAGACAGCACTTGGTTCTCTAACTCCCTGAAGCTTGTACTCATGTCTGGTTGCTGAGCTGAGCTGCTGTCTTTATTATTGCTAGTCACAGGGGCTGAAACAATGCAGGTCTCTGATAAGTCCTGTGGAAAGTTGTGAATGACAGAGAATCCAGATTTGTAGTTCACAGCTTTCTACCCAAATGTGATAAATTATTATTATTATTATTATTATTATTATTAGTAGTAGTAGTAGTAGTAGTAGTAGTAGTAGTATTAATTATAATAATGATAATAATTATAATAATAATAACTTATTTTGTAAAAACAGTAAATATATACTTTTTTTACATCATTAAATATGATTGTTATATTTAAATTAAAATAGATAATATTGCAAAAAGTGCAAGGGGGAAGGAACCTGTTTACCACATTGGAGGTATTGTAGCAGGTTGATGTTTTGGGAAAAAGAGGAGGAATTGCACCTTTTCTGAGAGCAAGAGCCCACCTGTATGGAGAGGCTGCCACAGACAGCTCTGTTGCTTTGGGTAGGAGAGGCAGGAAACTGGTCTGCAGCACCAGTGAATAGGAAGGTCTTAGCAGTGTCACAGACTAGACACTTGCCAAAAATATTGAGATTTTAGTCCCCAGAATTACTGAGCAAGCTCTTCCAGGCAAAGCAATGTGGATGGATGGATGACCAGAACTGCACCCTGAAAGTAATCTGCTCATGGAAACTGTCCTGGAATATTGGATTGGGCCAGCTCTGTGATGGTCATGGGAAGTTTTCACAGTTATACTCCAAACCAGCTGAAGCCCCTTCAGTCAAGTTCTGGTAGACAACATCAGCCCTTTGAGGTGAACCACAGAGTGAGAACTGTTTGCCCAAACATTCACTGTTTAGTGAACCTTTCAAAGTTAACATTTTGCTAGAGCTGTCCCATAAGAAAAAGTTTTTAACAAAATCAGTGATATTATTATCACCCTCTGTGCTAAAGTCTCCTGCAGCTGCCAGTTGTGTGCAGTGGTGAGGGAGGTTCCTCAAGGGAAACCCATGCAGACTCCCTTATTTTCTGACTTTCATGCTTCTGCAAGACAATGCTGTGACTACATTATGCCATTTTTGTCATTTAATACTGCTGCTAACCCACATAATTGTTAAGGGACTACACAGTGCAATTTAGCATAATTAAGACAATTACACAGTTAAGCACCATGAGCAGTCAGTAGCCAAAGATTTTGCCCTAGTGCAAGGAAACCTAAAGGCTCCATGCATTGTTCCTGTGCACCCTTGGGGTTTTGGTTGCTGATGAGCATGAGGGGGATCATGGAGCACAGTCAGGCCTTTTTACCAGGGGGATGCTGTTGTTGAGGGAAGGGAGGGATCTGAGCCTATTCCCATCACCCCATGTGCTACCATGTGGGGACTTGACCTTCGAGCGTGTCATTTGAGCCATGCTGGAGATCTCACCAAGGGAAGATACTTAACACATTTCCTCTGCATTTTACATCCATCTGAAATGTATTTAGCTAACTTTTGAGGTACCTTGCATGTTAAATCTTGAACCGCAATTGTAACCTCTCCAGTTTCCCTTATTCACACAGTATTTGATTTGGATGACATGTTTTTATAATATTTATTTTTCAGCCCATTTTGAGACTCTCATGTTAATGCCACAAGAACTTCAGTCTCCTGTATAATATTTCAGACATGGAGGGGGAAAAAAAAAAAGAAGAAATAAAGAAAAGGAAAAACCAGCCGTCTGCATCCACTTAAACTACATTACAATAAAGCTCAGTAAAGATCTGATCAGCAGTTTTTTAGCCTGCTCTGATTTAATATGAAATAAATTAGTGGAAAACCTAAAGGCTGAAATGAAATTTTTTGCCACTGTTTAAAACAGGACATGAATCCTTTAGCATAATATTTACACACATTATATTAAATACTTTTTGCAAAGGTAAAATTTAGCACTGCCAGCTTCAGAAATATTGAGAAGGAAATTTGTTTAAATAAATCTGATTTTGAGAAGAAAAAGTTTTGTTCTTTTTTTTTCTTCCTATGTATACATGAGCACTGAAAGAAAATCCTCATTTCAAATTATGTAAACATACTCATTAAAAAACTGGTGAACACTTAAAGGAGAAGACACAATTTGTATTCTATTTGGTAGTGTTTTCATCCTGGCCTTCAGAGTTGCTATGATTTGTTATCTCTGGTAGTCCACAAAGCTTTTGAGATTCTTGAGGCACCATGGCTTTCAGTGATCTCTATATCCAAGCATAGCTTTATTCATAATCATTGCTAGTAGATTTGACATGAATTTTCTGACATTATACTTCAATATTTGGGAAGGAAGGTGTCTGCCACGAAATATCAAATCGTCAGACGTCACATTTTCACCAGAAAGCAAGGGCCAGTTTCTCCTGGGAAAATTTCAGAATTGAACCACTATTCAAAACAAGAAGATGGACTTTTTCTAGGGAATACTCCATAGGCCCTTTCCCATCTCTTTCAGAACATTTGGGAAGACAAAATGTGAGTCTCCTGCTCTGTTGACCCAGAACAAGGACACCACATTATAGTCCCAGAGCCTTAAACTTCAGCCTTATTTTGGGAGGGGGTATGAGTGAGAACGATTTAGCCACGTGGAGATGAGAACATTTTGAAACATCAAGAGAGCTTTCATGAAATAGAAAAACAGTTTCCTACAGAGCTGCAATTAAAACCATGCCCAATCCCTTGAAAACACATACTGTTTATTAAGGGAGTTACTAAGATGTGCCATAGCTCCCAAGCAGAGGTGAGAAAGAAGTCTTAACTCACCATCTACTTCTTTCATCTGAGATTTATCATCTAGCCAGACAACTTGGATCATTAGCACATCAAAGATCCTAAAACATCCCAGATGAAAAAAAGAAAAACTTCTTTAAGACCATGGTATTTCAAAGATCAGCCATGTATTTGTAGATTTTAAGATCATATGGAAACTTTGCAGTCACCTACTCTGACATCTGCAGAGCATAGCCCAGAGGAGGCTGCCCAGCAATTCCTAAATTATTTCCAATAAATTGTGGTTGACTCAGGGCATCCTTCTCGGAAAGACATTCAGTCTGATTTAAAGACTATAAGAATCCACCACATTCCTTGGCAAGCTGCTAGTTACCAATAGGGCAAAATCTCACCAACAGGAATGGAATTTTTGTCTGGACTCATATTTAATCTACAGATTAAATATACACAAAATGTAGAATTGTTAAATATTCACAAGAGAAGTTGGTTGTAACTTTTTCCTTCAAGAAATCATGAGATTGTAACGATAAGTAAGAAATTGGGGAAAGCATTAACAGGTTAGAAACAATTTTTTAAAGTCTGTTTAAGTTTCACAAATATCCCTACAAGAGCATGAGAATGTTCATCCAAGACACATTCTTTATGGATTGGAAGTCTAAGTCTTAGTGCTCAGAGATAGTATCTATTTAAAATACATGAGCAAACCAAGGCATAAAAAGTCTGTTCCTCTAACTTTGCTCCCAGGACAGGCCTTCTGTTGCCAGTAAGAGTCCTAGAAAATCATGAGCAACACTCAGAAATAGTCAGAAATTGCTTGTATGGCAGGACTTCCAACAGAAAACTGATTTTATCTTGCCATGATCCCAGTTTTGGCCAATTGCTTTGCTATACTGACGGGCAGAAGTCCTCAGTTAGCCCTATTAAAAGCAGACAGCCATAATGCAAATAGAGTTTCTGTTTACTCTGAAGTCAGAATATTCATTCCAAGAGAACAATAAATGTGGGACCACATGCATTGTTTACTTCTCTTTAGGAACATTGTTATTCCCCAAACAGGCTGACTACTTCTCACTAGTCTTGCTCAGCTCCTTTTGCAAATGCATCTCATCAGCTTCAGCTAATTCATCACTGTGGTTTGACAACAATCACTGACTTTCTTTCTAAAGATAATCTGTGTTTAAAGGTTCTGTTATATAATATGCTATAAGCCAAGAATATCTTGCAACATTTGGAAAGGTAGGGCAGTAATGTTCTGCCAGACTCCTTTAAGCATTTAAACATCATATTTTACATGCCAAAAGTTCCTTCAATTAATAATGACTTGTGAGTTTTAAGATGGATAATTTATATCTGAAAACAATTAGGGAAGGCAGTTTAGAGAAACTTATCTGTGTTTTGGGAGACATTACTGCAAAAAACGTCACTGAAAGAGAGAGAAATAAATGGACTGAAATTCAAGGATGTGTCCCAGCCCCTCAGGAAAAATCAGTGATAGTTCAGAGCCAGTTTCCTTCAAACATAATTCTAGATAAAGAAAGATTTTTCAGAGACATCCCAGTAACAGATAAGTGAGTGAGTCCTTGTGGGCTTGAAGAAGTAACAGAGAACAGTAGAGGGAAAGAAGGAGTTTTCAGATCAGTGAAAACGAACTTCCTAGAAAAGGGAAAAGACACAAAGCTGAAAGTCTGGGACAAAAATAAGTGGAAGTATATTTAAAATATTCACAGGAGAGATGAGAGAAGTTAGAGAAGAAGTTTAGAGCCTCAAGCAGATCATTAAGGGTGGCACCAGAGCTATCAATGAACTGAAGGCAAAACACCATCCTCCATATTTCTCTAGCTGCACAAAAAATGTCTGTTCAGATTAGACAAAAAACAAGGGTCAAGATTAGAGAGACTGATCATGAGAACGACCTGTCTGGTAAAAGCACAAAGCCCATCAGCTGTAGTGACAAAGAGCCTGTGTGGGGCCAATGGGCAGGGATGTGTGGCCCAGGTCATGCTGACCCCGGTGAGCACTGTCAGCAGGCACACCACCCACCCAGTGGGAAATCACACCACAGCTCTTCTGCAAAATCAAGGATCTGCCAAGGATCAGCAGACAGCTGTCCAAGCCCTCAGGTCAGCACAGAAATGCAAAGCTTAATATAATTCCTGTTGCCATTAGAAAATAAACCATACATTAATTATTTTTATTCTTGCTGGCATATGAGAAAACACTATTGAGAGAGCACCCCTGGTTTCCCTGCCTACAAAGAGACACACACATTTGCACTAAAGGAAAGATACTACTTCAAACTCCTAAACTTCCCCATCATTTAAAGATGCTTGTTCATCTCTTGCCTGGCTAAATTGTTTTAACTAATTCCTCTTTGATAGCTGCATAATCATCCTGCATATCCTGAACAGAGAAGACCTACTCATTATGAAAGGGGGGGAAGACATGAAACATCCCTGAAATCTGATTTCCCTGAATATTTCTCTTCCATATGAATGGATGAACAGATTTCCCACAAGCTCAATAAGGAAAGACTCGAAGGCTCAGAAAGAAGAGGCCACCACTGAAGTCTGCAGTGTCTCCTCCAGCTCAAATAAAATGGAAAAAAAACCAGCCAAACAAAACCCAGGCCTACATTTGCTTATAACCTAAAAAGTATACCTATCACCATTCTGATTAATTAATTTAGTTTCGACATTTGGATTAATTACAGTGAAAGACCCAAATGCACTTCATAGACACTAATATCTCTAGTTTTATGACTGTTGAGTCATTAATTACTGCTATTTCAGTTTCTCCAAGTGGGAAAAATCAGGCATATTAAGCCTTAGACACTATCAAACACCCAATAGGTCTGTATAAAGGCTTGTGATGGAGTCAAAATATCTCATTATCTGGCTGAAGATTCAGTCTCAAAGTCTTGTATGTTTGGTACATGGATATTTCCAAATCTGTCTG